GATTCGCGCGGACCGACGGCCTTCCGTCGACGGCGAGGTGGCCGAACGATCAGTACGAAGCACGGCCGTGAACATGCTGGTGCCACCGGATATGATGTCCGCACAATCCAAGATTCTCTACCAGATCAACAAATACTACGGCGAACGTGTCCAGAACCGTATGAATCAGATATCCAAGACGATTCGGGAGGTCTGCAAGGTCATACAAGACGTGCTCAAGGAGGTCGAAGTGCAGGAGCCGCGTTTCATCTCATCGCTCACGGAATGCAATGGACGGTACGAGGGACTTGAAGTAATAGCGCCGGGCGAATTCGAAGTCGTGCTCTACTTAAATCAAATGGGCGTATTTAATTTCGTTGATGACGGCACCCTGCCAGGTTGCGCGGTGTTGAAATTGAGCGATGGCAGAAAACGTTCGATGTCACTCTGGGTCGAATTCATCACCGCTTCCGGTTACTTGTCAGCCAGGAAGATAAGGTCGCGGTTTCAGACTTTAGTAGCCCAGGCATGCGATAAATGCGCCTACAGAGACAGCGTCAAAATGATCGCCGACACGACAGAAGTAAAATTAAGAATAAGGGAACGCTACATTGTACAAATTACACCTGCATTCAAATGTTCCGGAGTATGGCCAAGATCGGCAGCTCACTGGCCCAGCCCGCAGATACCTTGGCCTCATCCAAATCAAGTATCCGAAGTCAAAACCGAAGGATTTGATTTGCTATCAAAAGAAAGTATGGCACTTCAGGGCAAGCAATCTGCGATGGAAGGTGACGCATGGGTATTGAGTTTTTTAGAAGCAGAAAATCGACTTTTGCAAGGGGGATGTCGTAGGCGCTGCCTGAGCATATTGAAGACATTACGAGATCGACACCTAGATCTACCCGGAAATCCAGTCACATGTTATCACATCAAAACATTACTATTATACGAATGCGAAAAGCATCCTCGAGAAATTGAATGGGATGAATCATGTCTCGGCGATAGAATCAATGGTATATTTCTTCAACTTATCTCGTGTCTACAATGCAGGAGATGTCCGCACTATTTTCTGCCTAATCTCGATCTATTCAAAGGACGATCGCCAACGGCTCTCGAAAACGCGGCCAAACAAGTGTGGAGACTTACTAGAGAAATGCTGACTAATTCGAGATCTTTAGAAAAATTGTAAAAAGAAAATTCTAATTAACTATGAAGACATAAAAATACGGATATTAAAATGTATACTCATATAAAAATGTAAATAATAATGTACATATAAAATAATCAATTCGTTGTAAATACGTATTAGTTCGGATAAGAATACTTTCCAATAGCTAAGGTGCTAAAAATGATGCTAGTTATAAATATAATTGTGATTATAGTTTTGTAAGTTGAAATTTAATTTCAAATAAATGTAATGTGGTTTAAAAAATGTTACTCAATATATAAATTAGTAACAAAACCGTGCATGTTATAAGTTTTTCCATATAGCATATAAAATGATATCAAATATCTGCAAATATGTGATCGAGTGATGAAATAATTTTTATTATAAAAATAAATGTTAACTAAAAACTATAAGTTATCACCATGTTATTGTATATAGTATTACTGTGAAAAGAACGTGTTTTAAAACACGAAATTTTATAGATTTTGCATAGAAATAGTCACCAATACTAAAAATTTAATATATTGTTCATAAAACAAGCTCTGTGTTTTTTATTCAGTGGATAATTTTTTTTCACAGGATAATAGTAAGGCTACAGGATACATCAAAATTAAAAATAAAATCATCAACTTGTGACCAAAAATCAGTATCATAAAACAAAATTGGGGTTTTCATACATCTTTTATACAACTGTGTTAATAAACGAGAAGTGTGAAGAAAATATAAGATTACAAGGCTTATAATCACATTAAAAACAAATAACATTCAATCTATGCAAGCAATTAAGCAGTTCGGGTAAAATTTCAAGTTTTATTAAGGAATTTATAATGTATGAGGTATAAGCTTTCACTTAATTTAAGTTTGTAAAGGTTAATTGCATATAAAATGAATAACAGCAAATGAGAGCTTTTAAATAAAAGATTAAAATTATTGATGTTTTTAAGCCGTAATCATAAAACATATCGAAAAAAATGTGGTATAAATATATTTAAAGCACTAATGTTAAATAATTCTTTGTTAGTGCCACAAAAAGTTACAATATGTTTGTTTTATTTATATTTTAGTTCTAGTATGTTAGTAATTTTTTTATTAATCAAAATATTATTCATTGCCAATTTGAAAAAAAAAACTAGAAAAAAGCTATATAATTGATTTTGTTTTTTTGCATATCATTTAGTTCTTGAGAGTTCCACACCATTTTCATATGTATTAAATTTCAATGTTTTTATTCATTTTCATCTATTATCTAACACTTGTTTATAAAATGGAAAGTTCCAGTACTTTGCTTTAAGGCGTCAAGCTACAGACCACAATTTTACAATTTAGCTAAATATTTATAAAACTCTTTTTTCAAAATACTAAGCATTCACTGGACTAAACTGAATGATTTCTACAATCTATCTACTAATGATTATTAAGGGCTTGTCTCTCAAGAAGATCAAAGTAAATTCCAATAACATTAAATGTAATTGCCTTGAAACGTAAAAAATTTCGTTGCTTGTTAAATGCTTAACGATCGAGGTGCCTAATGAGAACAAGTAATAAATGATACGACTCAATTACCTCTCGATATCATTCTGATATATTAATACACCCGAGGTGCATTCAGGTTTAAGACGCTGATGTCGACTTTCCAAGTATGGCACAAGATAATTATAATGCAAAAAGAAAAAATAAATATTTAACTGTGATCCAAGATCTCTTTTTTTGCTGAAACAAAATATGGATTTACATTTTTTTGGCGTACGCTTAACAGCGTCAACTTCAAAAGACTTTCCTACAGTTTTTTTTATACACATTAAACAGCAATTACAACTATCTAATTGTAAGTGTTAAGTATTTCACAATTGTTATTATACCAGACAACCCAATAATTGACCTTTCTAATTGTGATATAATTTATTTTTGGTCTATAACGTGAAACTGCTTGATATTATTGATACCCAAAACGGTATGTCAAATAGTTTATGTTAATCTCCATATTTTAATAGATGGAAAAATAGTTTTATTAATTAAAATACACAATATAAAAATAAAAAAAATAAAACAAAATTAAAAAAATAGATAAGATATCTAAATTATTGTTCTACAAGACTTTATGAAAATACAACACCACTGATGAAATTATTAATTTATTAACATTTTTATGCGTTCTCTATACTAATTTGTGAACATAACAATACTTATTTTATATTCCTATATAAAATATACATAAAACAATTATTTTCGGTATAACAACATTGTTATTTTTCAAAGAATAATTTTGTTCAAAAATGAAAGAATTATTAGCAACATGGACTTAAAGAATAAAAAAAGACATTATTTTTAAAGAAATTTTTAAAGAGAACATTATGTTATGTTTACAATGGTAACATTGTTATATTCGCATTATGATAACATTATGTTATATTCACAAATTGATATAAAAAACCCACAAAAATTTAAGTAATATTTTAACGAATAGTTTTAAGTGATTTTCAAACAGATCCGCTAATATGGATTTGTACTTCTCAACGTATTTTTCAAAATGCAAATAATTAAGTGTTAAATGTCTCTCCATTAAACGGTTTTAATGTGAATACCAAAAAACGTATGTGTATTGCGCAATCGATTTTACTATACATTTTCTCAATGGATTACGGTCTAAATCAGTCCGAGCAGTATACTTATCATTATTTATTTTTGTTTTGTTTCTACTTTTTCGGGTAGTTTTATGTGCAATACGATATCTACTATAGACGATCCCAATTCGCATTCGTGCTCGTATTCCACTCCCGCCAAAGCCGATGACTTATGCCCTGTCGAAAATCCCCCAAAGGACTACTACTACAGCCTTTCGGTGGAGCTTTGGCACGAAATTGGGGACGGCTTATGCCTTGCGAACGAATATTTGAAAGTACGATCCTCAGACTTATAGCAAAAGTTCATAAATTACGATAGCTAGATGTGAAAAACCATGTAAACTTATTTTAAAAATAACAGTTATAAAAAAATAAATAGGATTATATTGCATGTTTCAACACTTCGTGAAATTACTTTGGAGTTATATTATTGATTTCCTATTTTCTTAGCCCATAAAATATTACATTAAGATTTATGTAAATAGTATTTATTGAGGCTAAAATAAATTAATAATATATATTCAGATAAAATTTAAATCTATCAGTATAAATCGCGTGCCGTTCTATTTGCTGATTAAAAATATTTAGAACGTAGCATTGCGTTTATTCAATTACAGAAACATTATTAATGTCTTCATTGTCTTTCACAATAATAAATTACTTAATGAAATAATTTATAATATAACCACAAGGGTTAGCCAATTACTGAATAAAACAAATACCAGCTATTTGTTATTTATTATTCCATTAGAATAATTAAATATGCAGATTGCCAATTGGTACACTTTCAACAGCAAATTGGAATGATTTATGATCATTAGGCAACAAATTAACAAAGAATAAGTAGATCGAACTGTTGTGTATTAACTCTAATTAAGATTGCGTTATACATATTTTTCAAATATTTGAGGTTAAATCTTATTGTTAGACGATATGAAATTTCGTCTTTTCATTCGTTCGAAAGCAATGTCCGTCGCTCGGCTCGAAGTCGATGAATAATGCATGTGCGCCATTCCGGGACAGGGAAAGCGCGCGCCTGGGTGTGGCCTCTCAACGGCCGAGTGGGAGCCTCGCGCCGCAGAGGCGTGTTCCGGAACGTTCCCCAAGTTACGTCGATAGCGACCGCCAAGACTGCGACTATACAATACAATTCAGTCGCTATCCGAAAGCCGAGTCAGCCGTCAGCCGTCAGACGTCAGACGTTAGCACACGCGCTCAGCCGACCAGTCATGTTGGTTCCGCCGGACATGATGGCAGCGCAAATGCGTATGGTTCATCAAGTGAACAAATATTGCAACGAACGAGTTCAAACTCGAAAAGGACAAATAAATAAGACAATACAAGAAGTCTGCAGAGTTGTGCAAAATGTCCTCAAAGAGGTCGAAGTGCAAGAGCCGAGATTCATCTCCTCGCTCACGGATTACAACGGGCGTTATGACGGTCTCGAGGTGATATCGCCGAACGAGTTCGAGATTGTCATCTATCTCAACCAAATGGGAGTACTTAATTTTGTCGACGACGGAACACTGCCAGGATGCGCGGTGTTGAAGTTGAGCGACGGCAGAAAACGCTCGATGTCACTCTGGGTTGAATTCATCACCGCTTCCGGGTACTTGTCAGCCAGGAAGATACGATCGCGATTTCAGACTTTAGTGGCACAAGCATGTGATAAGTGTTCATATAGAGACAGCGTAAAAATGATAGCTGACACCACAGAAGTAAAATTACGTATACGTGAAAGGATTATAGTGCAAATAACGCCGGCGTTTAAATGTGCAGGTCTGTGGCCGCGTTCAGCGGCGCATTGGCCAAGTCCCCAAATTCCCTGGCCACATCCTAATATTGTAGCCGAAGTTAAAACCGAAGGATTCGATATGCTTTCAAAAGAATGTGTGGCTCTCCAAGGAAAAAATTCTGCCATGGAAGGTGATGCCTGGGTATTAAGTTTTCTAGAAGCAGAAAATCGCCTCTTGCAAGGCGGGTGTCGTCGTAGATGCTTGAGCATACTAAAAACATTACGTGATCGACATCTAGATTTACCCGGCAACCCAGTCACTTGTTATCACATCAAAACATTGCTTTTATACGAATGCGAGAAGCATCCTCGAGAAATAGAATGGGATGAATCGTGTCTCGGTGATAGAATTAATGGAATTTTCCTTCAACTAATCTCATGTTTGCAGTGTAGGAGGTGTCCACACTATTTTCTCCCTAACTTGGATTTATTCAAGGGACGATCGCCAACGGCTCTTGAAAATGCTGCCAAACAAGTTTGGAGGCTAACGCGGATTATGCTAACAAACACACGTTGCTTAGAAGAGCTGTGACAAGTCAAAACTGTTTATCTATATTAAACAAATATAAATTCCAGTGATCCTATTTAAAATTATCGTGTATTATATGAGTGTAGATTAGAAATACTGTGACAAGTGATTTGAAACGCTAGTTATATTAATTATAAAAACACAAAAAATAAAGACAAACTATATGTTTTTTGTGTGAGATTGTTTTATATATATATTTCATATAAGTGTGGATATCATTAGGTTTAAGACCCTTACCGAGGCTGGTTTGAGTATTGTATATTATATATTTATTAATTTATAAGACTTTGCAATAGAAACCTTTTTGTATGATGTCGTGAAAAAGATATTAAATTATTTATGCTCGAAGTACAATTCTGTTTCATTTTGATAACTCATTTTCAATGCGTATGTAAGATTTGTTCATGTAATATAATTCATACTGAAAAACATTGTCCGAAAAAATTATTCATTGAGTCGGTGATGTTTCAGTTGGCTAAAAACTTCAATTTGCTTCGCGACGGTAAAAGAAATTATATCCCATTTCTAACATTCTCATTATAACAAATTATCAACAAAATAAACGAATACTGTATGAATTTTTTTTTTCGGTACCGATCCAAAATAAGCAACATTTTAAATTTCAAACTATAATGAAAATTTTATTAACGGTTTTATGTGCAAACTTTTATAACAAAATTTTTTGTTAGAAAATATTTTTATGTCTACGACTACGACAACATCGAAATGTAATTGATCTATATATTTATATTTAGCAATTTAAAACAAGTAACAAATTTGAATATCGAACTATAATGAAAATTTTATTAATGGCATTGTGTTAAAAGTTTTATAACAAAAACTTTCCTATTAGTTTCATATTAAATATTTATGCCATATAAAAACGTGAAAACGCCAATAAACGATTTGTGTTAAATTTTATCTCCATATTCAACGTAAATGTTTCAAAATTAATAATATAGAAAAACCATATTAAATGCCAAAATTGATATCAATATCAAAATAATATTCAGTTTTAAAGTAATATTTTTCTTCTTATATATTAAATAACCTAATTATTATTTATAAATTATATCAGATGATGCTATTAGTTAAGAACTAACACGGTTCAAACTTAGAAATAATCATATTAATATTTAGTTTCTCTGTTAATATGGCAGTCACCTTCATAATATCCAATTTAAAAACATTTTATTTTTGCTACGTTTCTATGTTAACATATTTATATTTAACGCTTCAATATTGTTCAATTAATAATATATAATAATAATTAATATTAATTCAAAATCAAAATTATTCAGTTTTCCAAGCAACATTTTTCTTCTTATATTGTAATACACTAATATTAATAGAAAATAGAAAATTATTGTGTATGATATTTTGTTTGCAAACCAATTAATTTATTATTACCAATAACATCAAAATCGAGATTTGAATGGCAAAATAATGAAACACAAGAGCAACAAAAAGGACTTGCTTTTTAATACAATATTTAATGTTTCTTAAATTTTACGTTTTTGTTACGTTATAAAAATATGTTACGTTTTTAAAAATATTCTTGATAAATTAGAGTGTGATACATAGTTTTCAATCTAATTGATTAATTAACGCCAATAACACTAACATTTAGATTTCAAATAATACTTGCTGACAATAGTAATAAAAAAATAAAACACAAAAGCAACAAAAGGTTATAATTTGCATTTTAATACAATATTTATTGTTTTTAGAATTTTTCTAAAATCAATTTCATTAATGACATAAGGCAAACGAAAACATGTTACGTTTTTTAAAATGTGATACTATGTTTTCAATATAGTTAATTTATTAACGCAAATAACACCAAAATCGAAATTTTACTAACTCTTCTCAATCCGTAGTAACAAAATATTGAAACTCAAGAGCAACAAAATATTTTTATAGTTGAGATTTTTTTCCATAATAATTCCAAACATATTATGTGTCATAAAAACGTCGTGAATATAAAAACTGACTTTAATGGTATAAAGATCATTTTCTTGTCGTAAAATGCGAACACAAAAGCTTACTTAAAAATTAACAGACGCCGGGCATAAATCACAGATCGGACAGCCTGTGAGACTTTGTATTTGTATCGAAGAGAAAGAAAACGCGTGCGCCCGATCCGTCGCACCTCGCACATAGTCAATTCGATATTTTTTCATTTTTTATTATATTTTATTATATTATTTACGAACCTATTGCACATTCGAACTGGTTTGTTTATCTATCCGTCTCGATCGTTAAAATCAACTATAAAATAAAAAGTCAGATGAAAAATTCCCGTTACAGGTAGGCGTAAACCGATTATTAGTTATGAAAAACACAGGTAGCGACCACAAAAGTCAGAGAAGATCTATCATCGCGGATAGGATGTTATAATTGATACGTTAGATGAGGGATTAAGACGAAAATTAACACCCACGACGTAAACAATTATATCACAAAAAATAATTAATAACTCGAATCCTTTTAGCCTGAGAAATGATCGAGGTGCCAGCGATTCAGACGAATGAGACATATATTCGATCCGGAGTTCTTATATTGAAATATTATTCAGTATTCCTTGTAATCGTTAAAAACATTATTATTAGTTTTATATCAGCGAGTGACAGTTTTTTTTCATAAATTAATATATTTTGACATCTACTGATTATAAAATGGATGGATAGTTGCTGTAACTATTCTTCTACGAGAAAATTCTATAACTATTGTTCATTATTTCACAATTAATCATTTTCTGAAAAACATGCAGTGTAACAACTTACCCCGAATTGGGGCTAGTTGCAACATCTACTGGGGCAAGTAGTAACGACATAAAACGACAATAATTAAGATGATCATACGTCCCGGTTTGGCCTGGGATTGGCCCACCTTAGCAATATTTGTCCCAGATTTAGAACTTTTGTCTTGGATTGCCCCGGTTTTTCGAAAAGTAGTAGGCAAATTAACAAAAATTATGAAAGCAAACGAAGTGCTAATTTTTCAAATTATATATAAAGAAAATTGAATAGAATTTTATACAAAGCTCTAAAGCGAAAAAAACATATAGATAAAGTATTACATATAATCATAATAATAAAGTTCTTACTAAAAGTCCTTAATTCCGACTGAAAATAATTGATTCATATAAAAAACGTTTTTACTGTATACTTGAATATCAATTGTAATTCTAAAGACCCCCCACCCCCTTCCCCCTCCCTGTCTACTAAAACTAAAAATTGCCGTCCCGATTTTGAATTAAAAAAATCTGGTCACCTTACAATAATACCTCTGATAATTTATTCTTTACTCATTTTTTAAGAAAATGAACTTATTTGTAGTTCTTAAATAGAACATAAATTAAAAGTTATATTAAAGAAAAAAGAGACAAAACTCTTGATCAGTTTAGATATAATGTATGTTTTACGCACATTTTTTATAATTTATTCAAGTATTATAATTATAAACAACTTAAATACGCGTAATATATAGAATTACCAACTAATCACCTTGAATTTTATTAATAGTCTTCAACGCCGAATTAATTACCCTGCATTTATATAACGTAGTAAAAACTGTGGTAATTTACTCATAGATATATAATTTATTTTAAATAAATTAACAAGAAAAAAATAATTATTACCAGGCCAAATTAAGGAATACATGAATATGAAATTTCATTTCAAATAAAATAGTAGATCGCTATTATATTAGAGTGAAATATTAATGTATATTAGAAATACATAATTAAAATACTCTGACGACTTGCTATTTTTAATAAGATAAGCGTAAAAATCCACAATTTGTTCATACGATTTCTGTTTTTATCGCGTTCGTCCATTTTACATAAATTTTCATCTTTTTTCTTTAGAAGATTTAAATGAAATCAAATACATTTTCGACCATTTCACTGACGAATCTACATAATATTGAAAAATTTATGAAAACACAAAATATTTTGTGCCATAAGATTTTCTGAAAAACATTTTGAAAAATACTTGAAATTGAAACAAAACTAATGGTGCATTGCCTTAAGGCAAATTCCGCACCGAAAATTATAATTTTCAAGAAGCATTATATTTTTTTGAAAACTTTGAAAAAAATAGATATTTGAGAATTTTGAAATTTAGAAAAAATAACTTTTTTGAAAAATTTGATTTTTTTATATTTTAAATTTTTTGAAAATTTTGAATAACACCCTACGGGAAGTTAAAAATTGAGAGTTAAGAATATTTTTTGCCTTGGTTCTTCATCCACTTGAGAATTTTTGACAATTTAACTCATTGTACATATTTGCTAATTGCTTTGTCATTCATAAAGAATAATTCTGAACTGATTTATCGTCTATATAAAATTCGCACAACAAAACAAAAAAACATACCAAAAAAACGATATTCAGTCTTGGAACTTTTTTTCACACCTCAGAGAACGATTTTTCACTATATTACTACATATTAGAAAACTGAAAGTAATCGTTAATTTCAAAGTACCATCGTCAGATTTTTAAAAGCCCAAGAATTTTTTTAAATGGAGTACAGCGGGACTTAAAGATCCGCGGGTAAAAAGTCCCAGTTTCATTATCTCGAAAACAAGTAGAGAACATAAGCAGAGGAAACATTATGTGCCATAGTATTGATTGAATAATGTAGCTCTTATTTTTTTTTTCAAATTATTGCCAATTGTATAACATAATTTTATTATTAGTCGTAATGTTTTACATTAATATCAGTATAATATGTTTTACCGAGTCTAATTATAAATATAAACATGTACCTAATTACATGAATCCCTCATCGGGGCCATTACGACCCGAGGAACCGTACAGTTTTAATTCCGCAGTCTTACATAATACTTGTATATTAATTTTAATTAATTGCTTTATCGTACAATGAACAATTTTAATGATGAAATGTAAACTCGATTATTACAGTGTTCGTGTATAAAACGTGAAATTCCCGGAGCTGGGCACGAGGGCCTCATGCGGCTCTCATGCATATATGTCA